AGAAGTCTGCTTGTTTCCAAGCGTCCAGTGCCATGAGCTTTTGTTTATCTTGCTCATTCTCCTCTACGGTTGGTACATCTTCACTCAGAAATCTCGCAAGGCTTAGAGTAGTCAAATAAAACAGCGTCTTCTACTGCCATCTCTTGAAATTCACTCCCGTGAACTTCTCTAGGCGCTCGTGATAATTGAGCGGTCCTCCCGGAACAGCCGGAGTAACAACAGGAGGATTGACCACCGAGGTCACAGTAGGGGTTGGCAAGCCAGTCGCCTCGGGATTCGGATCCCCACCAACATTAGCAGCAGCATTAGAGACAGTTGCCATTTCTGAAAAATTACAGCAGAATTTTCACTATTCTGTATTTCCAGAAATCAAATTTAACACTAGAAAATCCCACAATTGGAAATTTAATTCAAAACTAGTCTCACCACGCAACCTAGAATCGAACATGGTCAGGAAAGTTTCCAGGAAGACTGGAGGGGTCACACCGGTCCCACTTAAAATCCAGTTAACCTTAGACAAAACTTTCAAGAGCATGTTGACTCCTAGTCCAGGGGAAACAACTTTAAGAATTAAATTTTCCAAGGGATGAACTAGGTTAAACACACCAAGTTCCAAACTGTACAAACAATTACAACAAAATTGCTACAATAATTACAAGCAAATAAAACGTGCTTTACATATTGGTGAATAACCACAAATGAACACTCAAGCAAACAATTGCTTCAAATATTTAGTCCAAATTAATCATTTTTCCCATTTTCATAGGTATTCCTGCAATAAAGAGTTAGCAGCAAAATACAACAAAACCTCCCTCAGCTTGTCTTTGCTTTTGGCAAAGTAGTGATTGAAGGGGAGGGTACTAGCAAACAAACTAATAAATAACTGTAAGTAAAGATTAAAACCAACCCTTAAGTTATACATCTAGAATTTAAACTAAAAAAAATTGTAAAAAATTAATTACATAATAAACATGTAATTAACTATATAAGTTACAGACCTAAATTAAATATAATTAAACCATATTTTAAATTGGTAAAGGTTACATATGAACTTATAGTACACTAAACATGTAATTAATTGAGGCAATTTACAAATATTTTATAACTCCTAAATACTTAAATCACATTATTAGGCAAGAATTGCAAATGACATGATTAACATGCAAATAATTCTAGAGGAATTAACATGAATTTAAATATAGGCAAGTTATGAACTTTACAACTCCACACCTAAATTAAAGATTAATAGGTACAAGTTACATGAAAATTTACTACCTAATAAACATGCTAGAAATGTAAATTACACTAAAAATTAAACCCAAATAAACATGTAATTTATATTGTAAACTAGAAACATGTGAACTAGAAGCATGTAAATCTAGAAATACAAGGCATGAACCGGTACACCATAAATTAATAAATTAATTAGAAAATACAGTGAATTAACGTTGCACCAATGGAACTCTTCTTCCCTATTGATAACAGTGGCCTATTCCATGCCATGGGAAGACCAAACAGTAGCATACACAAAATGACAAAATCAAAAGCTTAACCCAGTGTACATGCCTCTAATAAACCAATTAACTCGCTAGTACTACCAGTGGCCAATTACATGCAAAATTATTACACACACCTATGAATCTATTAATCTAATTCTATGATAAACGTTAAATCTATTTTAAGCTTGTTGGAAAAAACTACTCACATTACATAATTTCACATTGCATATCGCAAAATTATGAGATGAACAAAACAAACCTTCAATCCCAGGAAAAATAAAATGCTGAATAAAATACAGATAAAATATAAAATGGTTAAAGGAAGCAAACCGAAACCTGTGTGATATCACAGTCTCCTTAAAATAGATTCGCCGCCTCACCGTTGGGTGCTGGAGGTATGCCGGCGTCTACTTCCCAGGATACGACGGTTTTTACCAGCTACAACAGAGGCACCTTCTGATTAACTTAGCAAACGGACAACGGCAGCACTCTCTCTCAGGAAGAAAATTATAGAAGAAGTAAACTGACAGTGTATGGATGTCAAGGAAAAATTCTATATCTCTTTTCAAGGAATAGGGCCTCCTTTTATATACCATGGGGGAGAGGGGAGGAGCCTCTAGCCATCAAGGCTGGCAACTAATGCTAGCAAAACTGCCCAATCAATTTTGTAAAACTGATGAGCCTTAAATGTGTGAGTTATATACACATTTATGAGGTAATTTCTTATTCAAGCATTTTTCTCCAACAAATAGTGCACTCTTTGTAATACAACACATATACGAAAACAACGACACAACACTAACACATAGGACAACCCAACTTCACCAATCCATAACCATCACAACACAAGGTACACTCCAACGATAAACCAAGACAACAACAAAAAGTAAATCCATGTTCTACCTGCCTTAAGTACGATAAGCTAACAGTATACCTTTCCACAACAATACCAGGTAATGGTACCTCTGCTAATTTATCAGGCGTTAGTTGGAAGGTAGTGGCACTTTTGATTCAAAATGCTTCCAATTTATCAGATGCTAGTTGTAAGGTAGTCGTACCTCCGATTAGAAGCTTATCATCATCATCAACTCATCACAATGCCACGTATATTCCCAATTACACAGTTATTCAATATGAGATAACATGTGTGTTCTATTCAACAACAAATATCCAATATATAAATCCATTGGCATTCCCAATTTACAAAAGAGTTTGCAAGCATCTTTTATTTTTATTTCAAAACCAAAACCCATTATCTCAATCCCCAACCCTCACAACCATTAGCCAAAATTCCTTTTTAATTTTGAAAATCCCAATTTGTTGATTCACAACCATAACCCAACACAGCACAACATCAACCAATACAATCGCAAGACTTGTTTAACCTCATTTTAGCAATCAAAACTCTAATTCATTAATGTAAACCCATAGTCCGACAATTACCCAACATTAACTCATTCATTTTATTACACCCTCAATTTCAAATTAGGATTTTTCACCACTATCAACACAAACACAATTATCTACCTCCCAATTTACCAAATCACCCAAAAACATGATATTTAAACCCCCAAAACTCAACACCCTAAACCCCCTTTTATGCTTTAGAAAAACCACATAACAACTCATGCTTTTAATGCGATAAAAACTACTACTTATCTATCTATGGTGAGGTATTGAAAGTAATAAAAAAAAATCCCTACCTCTTAAAGTGAAGAGGAGAAAAGCCGAAAATCCAACGGTGACAAAAACATGATTTGCTTAGATAAAATGAAAGCCTTTGTCGCGCTCTATGTTTTGGCATACGGAACGTAGGGTGTGAAATGACTAAAAACAGATGAAACCCAAGGTAAAAGAGCTTGGAAGCTTGGCTATGGCGGACATGAGAGAGAAAAGATCTAAAAAAGTGGCATTTCACAGGCACTATTGTCTTATATAGACAGACCATTGCGGCGCAATGAAACAGATCGTGGCGGAAAATGAAACAGTCGCGGGCGCGACCTGCTGGCGCAACCACGTTGGTCGCAGCCAGCCACCGCGGCCAATTGCGGGCAACGCACTCCTCCAGGCCAACAGACCTGAAGGTGGCCTTTGTCACGGCCAAGTCGCGGCCCCTAGCAGGCGCGACCCTCTATCATCGCGGGTGCGACACTCATGGTCGCGGACGCAACCATGCCTGGAACAGATTCTAGACTCAACGTTTCAAAACCAATCCAAGGCATTCCCAGGACAAACTCAACAAGGTGAAGTCAAAGGTTGAACCAAACAACCATGTGCTCCAACCAAAAAGGCCAAATGGGTTGAATAATAACGCGGACCACTACGACAGTGCTCTGTCTAGTAGTCAAGAAACATAAGATTTAACATTATATATTTTTTAGTTTTTCTCTTATTCTAACTTTTCCGTTCCTTTTGTACATTGCTTTTCTCATTAACCAAACAGGGCATCACATAATCAAGAGGACATTATGCGACTTTCCGCATTTCTTTGGGGAACATTTTACTCATATTTCTTTAGAAACCATGACATTACTTGTTCTCAGCTAGAGAGGGAGAGAGAGAGAGAGAGAGAATTGGAAAGAACAAGGATGATAGATTCAAACAAACCGTCCAAAGTGGATAAGAGAGAGAAATGTGACCTATCAATGTCGTTCCAGTCATCTACATAGCCGTCGAGGGTGATGAGTCTAAGGTTGAAGGAGGCTCAGAGTCAGATCTCGGAGTCCAGATCGTAGCTCCATTCGCTGCTCTCTTGATAAAAAAAAAACATCAGATTTGTTCACCTTTTCTCTCCATATATTTTATATATAATGTGTATATCAATCTATTTATAAAGATTCTTCACAATTAGATTACACATATAAAAAAAATACCACACGCTAATTAAGGGATAAAAATTCTTCATGAACTTGATATTTTTTTTCATAATTCCTAATATTATTCATCTATATATATAAAGGAAAATGATCAAGAAAATTCATTGACGGAAATGCCCTAACTTCGTTAGTTATATTTAACTAAAACAGACCAATGGCTGAAATTTTTTCAAAATAAAAAAAAAAATTAAGAATTTAAATTGATAAACTTGAAATTTTCGAATTTAATTTAAAAAACACGTTAAATTCTGAGAATTTTTTTTATTTATAATTTGCTCAATTATTTTTTATCTATTTTAATGACATATAATTCTTTCTAAAATTTACCCTTATCAAAAATAGTCCACCAAAGAAGTTCAAAAAAACTTTGAATTGTTTTCAACACATTTTAGAACTTTCTTCTTACATTTTGTTTGATTTATAAATTTAGGGAGAGATTTATAAAGGTAAAAGAAAATTGTGTATAAAATCTAGTTATATTTTATTTATATTTTTCTTTTTCTTTTTTTAATTTTTAAAATTTCTTTCCAAATTTATGAATCAAATAGAATCTTAATAAAAAAATTGAAAAGATCTTGGGATGTGCACATCATTTAACTTGTTCCATTGACATAAAATGAAACAGATTGGAAGCTTGCCAGTGGGTATCAACAGACCTACAGTAAGCATGCTGTATTTTAAAGGTCCTCATCTAGGGCTTGGTATCAAAACAGGCATTGTAACTGGGATATTGTCTCTCACGGTAAGTAGGTACTCCCCTTAACTCGCAATTGATTACTTCAATCTTGTAGTTGGTCTATGCTAATTTAACACTACACTGGTACCGAGAATCATACTTATTAATTTTAGGACAATTACAGCAGTAGTATTTATATTTTACTATTGGTAAATTATTTATAAATCCTAATAATTGAATTTAATTTCTATCAAGCATTGTTGAAAATAAATCTTACAAAAAAAATTGCTAAAAATAATTTTGTAATGATTTTTTTCATATGTCGCTAAAAATTAACAATTAGTAACTTTTTTTATTACAGTTTTTATAAATTGTCGCTAAAACTTTTAATTAGTGACTTTTTTTGTGAAAGTTGAAAAGTAGTAACATTTTTTTTTGTAATGATTTTTTAAATTATCCTTAAAATTTATAATTAGTGATAATTTTTGTAACAAATTTTAAACTGTCACTGAAAATTAGGAATTAATGACATTTTTAATAGTCTTTGATGAAAAACGCTATTAATTATCACGTGATCTATTGGATTATGAGTCTACCTATTAGGACCTACACGTAAGTCTTCTTTTACTTTTGGCAGTGGCTCTGGTCTAGTCCAAGATCGGATTGGACAGTGCTATTGGGCCCGTGGGGGCCCACCACGGGTCCCGTTTTGATAATCCGAACCGTTCAATGTGTAAAACTCGTTGAGTACTATATGTCTGTAAAAAATCACGTTGATCGGATATCGATAACTATATGAACAAAACAGTTTTTTATCAACCGTTAATTGTTTCACCGTCTATTTTTTTTTATACAAAACTGATTTGATCACATAGTTATTAATATCCGATCAATGTGATTTTTATAAGCATGTAGTACTTGACGAGTTCTACACATTGAACGGTTCGGATTATCAAAACGGGCCCAAAAAATGAGCCCCATAGGCCGAACTGGACGGATCCAGTTTTGATCTCAACTTGAGACAAGCTGAAACCTTTACTTTTTGTGTTGTTTTGGACCATACCCTTTCAATTTGATTACGCCATCTTGGACCATACCGCTTTTTGTGTCCTCTTTCTTATAATTAGTGATGATAGTATTTGATAAAAACGTCATCTTATTACGCAGTTTAGTTTTGAAAAAAATTATAATTGAAAATGTGTATTTCTCGAGAATCAACAAATAAGAATGAATGCAAAACAAGATGCATAAGCAAATTTAAGTGTGATTTAAAAAAAAAAACATGAATGACATGAACAAAAAACAAGAATAATAATAAATAAAAGAATATAAGTAAATCTAAATAATATAGAAATATAACAAATGGAATATATCAATATTTGATAAAACTCAATTTAAAAACTTATTTAAAAATTTTGTAATATAAAGAATTTGGAGGGTGCAAACTACTTAAATTTTGGGGTGCAAAGTATTCTAGTTTTAAATTATCTTACTAATTACAAATATAATAAACATAATTTTTAAAAGTGTTGGAGGTGCGACTGCACCTAGGATTATTCAAAATACCATCCAATCTGTTAAAATCATTCCGATCCGCATCAATCTGCACTGCTCTAACCACTAACCGCGGATTAAATTTTAAAACCGCTCCGCTTCGCCGTAGTTAATACATATATATATTTTAATCTTCAATAAAATATAAAAGTAAAATGAGTGTGAGAGTGATTTAAGATGTGAAATTTGTTATAAATTAGTAGTTATATATATGAAACATATTATGTAAAATTAATTTGTGTTATGTATATAAAAAAATATTATGCAAATTAGTGTTATATATTATGTAAATGTTTAATAATTAGAATATTTTTTAATCTGCCAATCTACCCAAACCGTGATTTGTCAATCCTTTAATCTGTCAATCTACAATTTAATTTATAATTTTATTCTCAAACCATCCGAATTGGACCCCCACACCCCTGACCGCACCTGCCTGCACCCTCTAAATCCATTCTTGATGTGAGTTACATTGCATTGTCGGGTTCGCTTAAGTCCTTTTTGGCCCGCTCCTTTTGGTAGGGATTCTTATAGTCTCACTCAAAGCAATTCTTCTATGAAAACATAAACCAAACATACAATACATTGAAATTATAAATTGGGTAAATTACATTTTGTGCCTGACAAAAAAAAAAATTCCCGAGATATAAATTTGTTATTATATTTCCACTTTAAATAGAGAATAACAATCCAAATTAAACAATCAAAAATAAATCGACACAACGATTTAACATAAAAAAATTACAATTAGAACGCCTCCAATTGTAATAAAAAAACCACGGGCCAAAGCCACTAAACAATCCACTAAAAAGACAAAAAGAAATTACACATGTGTACCCTCAATAATCTAGCGATTCCATGTCCGAATTGAACCAATCCTGATGTGCTTCTTTCACCACCATCTTCACCTCGGAATTGTTTTGCCCAAATTGAATCCATAATGCTGATGTCTAATCCATGACGATGAGCCATTCCGGAATCTATCAAAGCTTCAGGCCCAAGTTCCTCAGAATCCACTGAAGAACAACTCTCTCTTTTGTGAATAAAAGAGAACAAACAAACCTCTTGATGATATTGATATGACGTTCATGGATCCATATTGATCACTCTTAAATCATCAAGGAAACACTCATAAAGCTCCGTCTAATATAAAACACTTGTTTGTTCTTCCTATTTGAAAATCTGGACAGCTCAAACCCTAAAATAAGCAAACAACACACTTTATAATAAACTAAATCACGAATACCACTCGAGCAGTGTGAGTAAAAGCGGTGCAAAACATATAGGCTGACTGCTTAAGTGCAACATTCATTGCTTAAGCGGTAAAACTTGTTTCCCAACAGTTCAAACGCTTTGCAAAAATACTAGATGATCATTTTCTCCGCTCGAGCGCACAGATGACCGCTCGAGCGGTGAAACAACTTCGATTGGACTTTTACTTTTTGCTTCGAACTCGCCATGGGGTGCTAGCTTCTGGATCTCCACCAGCTGACCGGGCAACTCGATTCCCGTACATTGTCAACGAAGTGACAAACATGAAAGGATCAAGATCACAAACTCCTCTGCATAGGCACAATTCAGGTTAGATTCGCATGTAAGCACTCATATCTTCACTGAAACATAAAAGTGAATAAAATTATAACTGAAAGGAGTTTTGTCAAGTGGGATTGCCAATTACCAAAACCAAACAATCTCTCATTTGGCAATTCCGTGACAAAACACACCTAACAAATAAAATCCTAATCACCCTAACCCATTGCAACCAATAAAAACTAACTTCTTTTTCACTGTCATGACTTTGCAAAATAGTTATTAATGCCACAAGAGAATATGAAAGCAATAAACATATGAAAAAATTATCTTGAAGCCTGAATAGATGGAAATTTGAAGAACATGCAACATGAATAGATGGAAACTTGAACATGTAGACACACTAAAAAAACTCACCCTCAAAATTATCTAAAAAAACTCTATCTCAAAGATTTCCCTCTTTTTGTCATGAATTATCAAAAGAAGGTCAGTTAACTAAAGCAAAAAAAAAAAAAAACCACACAAGAAAGGGCATGATGATGTAATAATAATAGCATGCGGGAAATAAGTTATAAATAACCAGTGTATAGTAACATGCAAACCAACTAACATCAATCTTCCTTACCAAACCAATCAATGTATGTCTATGCAAAAAGAGCTCCGCTGCAATGATTAACCAAATCCCTCTTACTAGAAGCAACCATAGGCACCAAAAACAATGAAGAAAAAAGGAAAAGACAAAAACAATATGGTGAAGTAAGTAAAGAATTTCATATTTGTACCTTAAAACACACAAGAATATCTAAGAAATACAATTACTTGAAAACACAATGTGTACAACCTTTAGAAGATTCCTCATAAAAAAATGTGATGTAACATATGAAAAGCATAAATCTCATGATAAAAGTGTTGTGGCTCTTGAAGTTCGACAAACACTAGATTCAAATCCTAGTAGTGATCTGATGGCTAGACTTCTGGCAAGAGAATATGAAAATGACTGAAAAAAGTCAAACCTATAGTGATCAAGGGGTATTTGTTGAGTAAAGGCAGAGACTCCCCCTCAGTCAATGAATAATTTTATTTTATATATTTTTTTCTTTTCTTTTGCGCACTCATTGGCGGCTTTCACACTCAAATGTATGGAAACCTAACTAGAGATGCATGGAGAAAATAAGGATAGCCTAGTTGGTGACTTTGAGGTAGCCTTTTACTCATGCCTTGACTACAATGACCCAAGGGGAAAGCCGTGGAGATGCAAAAAGATAGTAGGGGGTTAAGAGACTCAACATCACCAAAGATATGCTAGCATTGGTCAATTTCTCAAGAAAAAACACATGAAATACCGCAATTAGTCCATAGCAAACTTTGATTACTTATGCTGAAGAGTCCAGTATTTGCTAATCCAAGAGTGTGTACAGAATGAGACATACTAATCAAAGTACAAACAATCCAAACTGAGTAACGACCATAGATGGCACAAACATATTAACATGTAATGGATATTCTCATCAATTCCAATGTGTACCAAGAACTTCTCAAAAATTTCAAGCTTGCAAAATCATACTGAGAAAATCTTTTTGGATTTTTATTTTAATATTTTAAAACAAAGCAAGAAAGAAAATGAACAAGTACACGCAAAACAATCCAAAAAGAAAAACAAATAGAAACCTACAATCAAAGAGAAAGAAAGAAAAAAAAAATACAAATAAACAAATTAACAGAAGTCAAGGTTTCTCACCCAATCTACTTTAGTATAAACAAAGTTATGAGAATTGTGATTCTTAGGTGACGTCTTGACATTGTTGTTCCCTTCCCCTTCAATGTGAGTCTGTCTTGATTTGGTTACCAACCCCTTACTCCAAGGTCTAGGCAAATGCAAATTCGTTTCATGTTTGGTCTCTAGCAAATCAAAACAATGAGATCTAATTGGACCATTAACCTCATTACGACCACTAAACAGTCTCCTACCCCATAAGGTATTAGAATTTCTTCTACCTCTATGAGACACTCTCCCATACAACTCATAATAATAAGGGCAAATATGACCATACATACCACAATGATAACAAATAAAACAAGGTATACCTCATTTTCTTTGACCTTATCAGCTCTAGGAAGATTAAGAAGTCCATCCTTATGTTGAATTGCTTGCTCTTTTTTTCCTTGAGTTCTTGTATCATGAGATGCAGATGCACACCATTTTTCCTCTTTGTTACCACTAAAGCCAATGTCACTTTTGTCATAGCACATTCGTTGAGACCTAATGATATTGTCCAAAGTCTTTGATCCTTTGTTCCAAAGACCAATGGTAGCCACAGCAGACTTGAGCTCTTCATCTTTCTTAACGACTAGCTCTTCCAATGCAGCTTCAGACATTTTGGGAGTTTCAATCTTTTCTTCATACGTTGCATAGATTTGTTGGAGCTCATTCCTCTTTGTCTCACAAGTCAAGAGTTTTGCACAAAGAGCTTATCGATCCTTTGAGATCTTTATGGCATCATTCATAGCCTCAGAAATCTCCTCCTTTAGTTTGATATTCTCACTTTCACAAGCTTTGAGTTTCATAGTGATTTTGTTATTCAATTTGGATAAGTTAAGAGATTACTTGTACAATTTTTAATAAGCATGTTGAAGCGCTTTATCATCTACTTCATCATCACTTGCCGAGGATTCATCATCAGTGATATTCTTAACCGGCCTCTTGGGATACTCCATTCATCCTTCAGCTTTAAAAGTCGCCATGAAAGCAAGGAATTATTTATACTCCTCTTCGTCTTGAGCCTCATTGTCACTTTCATCTTTGTCAGACTCTAATTCATCATCTTAAGTGATAACGAAGGCTTTCTTCTTCTTCAAACGATTAGGGCATTCTTAAGAAAAGTGACCAAAACCTTGGCATTCATAGCATTGGAATCTTTGAGGACTCTTTTTTACTTTTCATTCCTTATTGGTTGTAGAATCAATTTTGAGCTTATCTTTGCCTCTAGATTTATGAGTTGATTCCAAAAGATTAGACTTCTTTTTCAAAAAAAGACTTTTTAAATTGTTTTACAAATGCATCTGTAATCTTGGAATCAAACTCACAATCCTCATCGGAATCCTTCCAACTCTATGAGTACTACTAAAAGCAAGATCATCTTTTTGTTTCTTTTTGAAATTCATATGTGCCTTATAGGTTTGAAGATTTCCAACCAAATGATCCAGCTTGAGGTTGTCAACATTTTGAGCCTCCTCAATAGTTGTAACTTTTGGTTGGAACTGATCTGGCAAAGACCTCAAAAATTTTCCTACAATCTTGGATTATGGTATTTTTTTCACCTAAATTGAAGCTAGAATTTACAATGTCACTCAATCTCACATAAAATTCATCAAAGGTCTTCCTATTTTTCATGAAAAGGTTTTCAAAACTCGAAGTGAGCATTTGAAGTCTTGAACATTTAACAAAAGGAGTACCCTTATGAATAGTTTATAAGTTATCCCAAGCCTCTTTTGAGACTTTACAATTACAAATATGACTAAACTCTTCTAGTAATCAGTTGTGTCCTCTTTTGTGACTTTGTAATTACAAATATTACAATTACAAATGTGACTTTAGAATTGATAGTTTTACTATTCCAGCTACTATTTTGGTAATCAGTTGCGTCCCATTTATCAATTGGTTTGGTGAAAGTTACTCCATTAATGGTAATCGTTGGTTCGGTCTACCCACATATGACGGATTGCCAAACTTTTTCATCAATAGATTTCAAAAATGCTCTCATCTGAACTCTCCAAAAAGGATAATTGGATCCGTCAAGTAGTAGTGGTCGTATCATAGAATTCTCTTCACGAATTAAATCCATTATCACAACTCAAACAAGATCCCGCTCCTTAAGTTTATAAAAAATAAATAAAAAAAAAATAAAAAAAATTGAGCGACCTGCTCTGATACCAATTGAAAAATCAAAAATTCCCAAGATATTGATTTGTGATTAGGTTACAATTTTAAACAAAGAATAACAATCCCAATTAAATAATCAAAAACAAATCGATACAACGATTTAATGTTGAAAAACCACAATTAGAGCGCTTCTAATTGTGAAAAAAAAAAAATCATCGGCTAAAGCCGCAAAACAATTCACTAAGAAGATAAAAAGGAATTACATATGTGTACCCTCAATTACGTAGCGAATCTACGACCGAATTGAACCGACCTTGATGTGCCTCTTCCATCACTTTCTTCACCTCAGAATTGTCTTGCCTAATATTGAATCCACAATGCTGATGTGGAATCCACGACGATGAGCCACTTCGAAATCCACCAAAGCTTCAGGCCCAAGTTCCTCGAAATCCACCGAAGAGCAATTCTCTCTTTTGTGAATAAAAGAAAATAAACAAAACCCTTGATGATATTGATATGAAGTTCATGGATCCATTGATCACTCTTAAATCATCAAAGAAACACTCATAAAGTACCCTCTAATATAAAACACTTTGTTTTTTCTTCCTCTTTGAAAATCTAGATGGTTCAAACCTTAAAACGAGCAAACAATGCACTTTACAGTAAATTGAATCGTGAATACCCCTCGACCACACATTTTATTGCTCGGGCAATGTGAATAAAGGCAGTGTAAAACATATAGGCTCGCCGCTCAAGCGCAACATTTACCGCTCAAGCGGTAAAACTTGTTTTCCAGAAGTTCAGATGGATGATCCGTTTCTCTGCTCGAGCGCACAAATGACTGCTCGAACGGTCAAACAACTTTGACTGCATTTTTCCCTTTTGCTTTGGACCCGCCATGGGGCGTTGTCCCTTGGACCCCCGCGAGCTGATTGGGCAGCTCAATCCCTATACAAAGTCAATGAAGTGGCAAACATGAAAGGATCAAGATCACAAACTCCTCTGCATAGGCACAATTCTTGTTGGGTTTGCATCTAAGTACCTACATCCTTACTGAAACATCAAAGTGAATAAAATTACAACTGAAAGGAGTTTTGTCAAATGGGATTGCCAATTACGAAAACCTAATAGTGCCCTTGAACGTTACGCCAAATTTCATTTTAGTTCATCATTTTTTAATTGTAACAATCAATCCCTTGTGCTTTCGGTCAAATTACAATGTGATCTTTTTGTTAGCATGGTGTTAAATTCGCTACCCAAAATTAGGATAAATTGCACTTTGTACCTTTACACTATACATTGAATCTCATTTTGACCTTTTTTTTTTATTATTATTTTTTATTTTTTAATTATCACAATCAATTCCTAACACTTTTGATTAAGGTGCAAAAATGTAAATTTATTATCTTTTGTACTTTATTTTTTCACAATATTTTCTCTACTATATTTTCTAAATCCGTCACCACCGACCACTCATTCCTTGTATTTCCCATTGCTTGTGGCAACTACTTACCCCTTTACTGCCACTTTCATCATTTCCCTATAGAATCCTTACCACCCATTACTACCTCTACCTTTTGCCCACCTTTTCCACCACTTGGTGTCACACTATCAATCTCTCTACCTATTCCCGCCCGACACATTACCTCACTTCCTTTCCATCACCCATGGCCAATTTTATCCCTTCCCACCACTCAATGCCACCATTTCTACATTTTCCAAAACCACATAGGTCGATTTGTATATTAATCAAATCTTAGGGTGTGTATTTGTAATTTATCCTTATTTATGAGATTGGAGGTTGATTGAGAGAGAAAAGGTCAGAGGAAACACAATAGTTGGGCTGAAAGGTTAGGGTGGCGTTAGGCGGTGAGAAGGAGTGCGGTTGGCGGGCAGACAGTAGGGGTGGTGATGGGTGGTAAAGAACAGGTGAGAAAGGCGTGGAGGTGGTGGAAAATGAATGAGGGCTTTGAGAAAATGATGGAGAGTAGCAAGGAAGGCATAGTCAGTGGTGTTGGGTTTAGAAAATAAAACAGAGTGAAAAAATAGATAATAAGAAAAATATGACAATAGAAGAAAATTTAATTTTTTTCCCCCTGTAAATTACCTTATGTGAGGCTTACATGACAATTTTTGTTAGATAATTTAAAACCAAACTAACCAAAGGACCACATTGCAACTTGACCCAAAGTGCAATGGATTGATTGTTCGAATTGAAAAACAGAGATCAAATTGAAATTTGATTTAAAGTGTAAGGCTATAAAGTATAATTTAACCAAAATTTTGTCAGTGGGTTTAACAACATACTAAGGGAAAGATGACATTGAAACTTGACCGAAAGTGTAAGAGGTTGATTGTTACAATTAAAAAGTGAGGGAACTAAAATGAGATCCGGTGTAATGTGTAGGGATACAAAGTCTAATTAATCCTTTAAAATTTTATATAATTTGTTATTGAGAATCATTTATGAAAAATCTTATCAATCCATATACATTCTGTATCTAGTTCTGCCATTGATTTTTGTGTTCCTATACTTGTTAAACTTGGAAAAGGATTGTGTTCCTATAGTTGAAATTGGAATTTTAAATTGCAAGATGACACTTTTTTTATTTCTTAGGAAGGAATTGCAGCAGGAAGAACATTTGCTTCTCTTCAAAACTATCAAGTTGATGGAAACAAAGAAATGACAGCAATTGGTCTCATGAACATGGCTGGTTCTTGCTGCTCATGCTATGTCACCACAGGTAACCCACTAATCTTGCGTCTATTCTGTGACTTTTCTGTGATTTTTTTCCGTGTCTGTAGCAAAACTATCGACGATTAAATTCATTTATAATACTTTGTAATCCAATTTAGAATTTTCTGTGATTTGTTTCCGTGTCTGTAGCAAAACTATTGATGATTAAATTCATTTATAATATTTTGTAATCCAATGAATTTGCAGGATCATTCTCGCGATCCGCTGTGAACTACAATGCCGGAGCAAAGACAGCATTTTCAAACATAGTGATGGCAGCAGCAGTGCTAGTGACTCTGCTGTTTCTCATGCCACTGTTTTATTACACTCCAAATGTGATCTTAGCAGCAATTATCATAACCTCTGTGATTGGCTTGATCGACTACGATGCAGCTATTCGGTTGTGGAAGATTGACAAGCTTGATTTCTTTGCATGTTTGTGTTCATTTGTTGGGGTTCTGTTTATCTCTGTGCAGACTGGTCTTGCCATTGCTGTACTCTTCTCAGCCTTGTTCTTTTCTCTAATTATTTATTTATTTATTTTTGAGTAAATTACACTGAGATTTGAAAAATATATAGTAAGTCCCACAACTTTAACATGATTACTACCTTAAAATTTGATTCACATAATAATTATTTTCCTTTTCATCAATAATTCATTAGTTATACGGATAAAAGTATGATATTGTCTTTTCTTTTACATTGAATATATATATATACATTTCATTATTTATCCGTGTGTCTTTACACTATTTACATTAATTTTGATTACTTTAATCTTACTAAAAAGGAGGTCGGTATAATTATGCTAAAATTATAAGATTATTTCTATTTTGTTGAAATCTTAGGAGGGTCAGCGTAATTTACCTTCTTTCTTCTTTTTTTTTCACTTTCTATTTAATTTTGTGGAAGACACTAGAAAATGGGACAAACATGAGAAATTTTAAGATATGTGGTTGAGGGTGAGAGTAGGGCTGCAAAAAAAAATAAAAAATAAAATGAATTGTTAATGACCAGTTTGAAATTGGCTCGTTTAAACTCAATTTTTTGTTTATAAAATTTAGATTAAGGATTTGAGGAGCGACTTATGAGAAAGGGAACATGAAGGGAAAAGTGAAAGAAATAGAAACTGATTTTTTGTTAAATTTCTCTCTTTTTTTTTCTTTCTTTCAACTCTATAAATCTCTCCTCAAATTCTACATTTCAATATCGTCTAAATGAAGGGGCTCAAACTAAATTTTTAGACTCATTTAATAATTTAGTTGAGGTCTAGTAGACCTAAGCTTGACTGAGATAGGTTCATGAATACAATTATATATAAAGTAATAATTTATTTTAGGTAATATATTTTTATTAATTTCTTTTATTTCTCTATTTATTTTTTGTATTTGTGAAAAATAAAATAATTTATTGATGAAATTCATTAATAATATGATATTTTTCTTATAATATTCTTTTTTCCTCTTAATATATGCAGGATAATTTAGATTTTTTTTCTCAAGCTTGAGCTCGATCTCTACTTATTTATGTAATCGACGTAAATTGAGTAAAACCTTAGTTCTTAAATTTTGACACTGAAATTGAGTTGGATTATTTAAGCTTGGTTCGAACTCAGACTCAATTAATTTTAAGTGTGCCAAGCTTAAACACCCCAAAATTAGATTCACTTTGACCCATTTGCAGAGCCTTAGATAAGGGGATAAGGGTTCATCAACATGTTCTGTTGTGTTCTTATTTTTTGATAAAACTCTGATTTTTTTTTTTTTTAGTTTTTACAAACTATTTTCGAAAACAATCCACATTTTATACATAAGAGTTGTTGCTTTCTTTTTGGGTCCCAAGATGCATGTAGTTCTATCTAGTTTTACATACAAGTGTTATTTTATATCTGCTAAAAATGACTAATGGCTTGAAGTGAAACTGTTGGTGGAATTACAGGTGGGAGTGTCAGTATTTAAGATAATCCTCCATGTTACAAGGCCAAACACTGATATGTTGGGGAATATTCAAGGTACTCAAATATACCAAAGTCTCAGTCGTTATGAGAATGCAACTAGAGTTCCAGCATTCCTCATCCTAGCCATTGAATCTCCCATCTATTTTGCAAACTCAACCTATCTCCAAGAAAGGTACTATTCACTCTGTTTGGTTTTAAATTCTTAAAAATATTTTTTTGTTTTTGTTTTTGTTTTTTTTGGTGATTTTTTTGGGGTTTATTATAATTTCCATCCCTGTCGTTTGATTCAAATTTCTTTTTGGTTCTTATAGTTTCAATTTGAATAATTTCGTCCCCATATTTAAGTCTAATTTCAATTTGATCGTTTCATCTAAATTTTTATTAATTTTGTCTACGTGTACATCTTAAAAAATTAACAAGTGTTTCAAAATTGTTAATTTTAACCCCCAATATGGACGAAATAATCAAATTGAAACTAGATTTAAAGCCCAAAAATCAAATTCTTCAATTTGAAACTATAGGCATTAAAGTGAAATTTAGATCAAATTACAGAGGTGAAATTTGAGTCAAATTGGTTCACTTTCACATGACCATCTAAATCATTAATGAAATATTTATAAAATTGACATATGGTCCCTAAAATTGCATTTTATGTTACTTTGGCCTCCAAAGTTTCAATTTTATTATTTTGTCCCTAAACACTGTAATCTTATGCATGCTTTAAATTTTTTGTCAGTGTTTAAGACCAAAATGATAAAAAAATAAAAACACTGAGGACTACAATGACAACGGATACGTACTTTAGGGTTCATAAGTGCATTTTAGAATTTCATGAATGATTTAGACTGTACATTAAGAATTGGACGAATTTGATTCAAATTAAAAAGCATAGGAAAAAAATTGACAAAGTTGAGATTTGAAGGATCAAAGTGACACGTAAAGCATAGTTGATTTCAAAAGCTTTTGCAGAATATTAAGATGGGTTAGGGAAGAGGAAGAGAGGATCAAAGCTAACAAGGAGACTTCCCTAAAATGTGTGATTTTGGATATGACAGGTATACCCTTTACAAGTATTCTTTGTATCTGATTTTGCCTAATTTGAAATGCAATCATTTTAACAATTACATATATAAAAAAAAAAAGGTCTATGAATACAGAAACTGGTCATATAATTGAACACATAATGTATATTTACAGATAAGATTTTTCAAAAGTGAACCCACCCTATAACATCTTATTATTCGTTCTTGTCTATTATGTATCTGTGACCAGCTTCCATGTTTAGATCTAACACAATGTTCACAATTATTTATTCAGCTTCCATGTTTAGATCTAACACAATGTTCACAATTATTTATTTATTTATTTATTTTTTTCAGCTGTAACAGCCATTGACACTAGCGGGATTGATGCTATATATGAATTGAACAAAACACTGCACTTGAGATCACTCCAGGCAAGGAAATCAGCCCAAAAAATAATTTTTTCCGCACAAATTATTGTTTTTTTTTTGTTACTTCTTATTAATTTTTTTTTTATTTTATATATTACTTGCAGCTTGTTTTGGTGAATCCTGTTGGGGATGTAATGGAAAAGCTCAACAACTCAAAAATTTTAGATCTGTTTAGATTGAGTGGGCTTTATTTGACAGTTGGGGAAGCTGTTGCTGATACATCATCTTTGTGGAAGCCTTGAGGATAAACACGAAACCGGTCACAAAACAGTTGTGACCGATTCTAAGTTTGATATTTGTATTATTAGTATTATTGAAGCCTTGATCGTGAGCAGACACAGGATGATTTTAACATTTCGCTGCTACAAGAATGTGGCACCTGATGTTTTATTCTAGCAATGTACAATGAACTTTGCTTAGAAGAAGGTGTAGGAGTTGTATTTAACTAGAAAAAAACATAGGAATTTTTAGAATCTATAGTGTAAAACAAGGACATTTATTCGCATATATACGGCTTCTTTGATTGCAGAATTGATGGTTTGTATCAATTGGCCTTGTTTTCTGTAGTTAGAATATTATATTTAGCTTTGCGTTTGTTATATGTAATTGATTATTTAAAAATATCATGAGAATTACTTCAAACTGATTAACTATCAAACTTTAGGACTATTACATGTACCACAGATTTTTGTTTTTGTTTTTTTTGGTGATTTTTTTGGGGTTTATTATAATTTCCATCCCTGTCGTTTGATTCAAATTTCTTTTTGGTTCTTATAATTTTAATTTGAATAATTTCGTCCCCATATTTAAGTCTAATTTCAATTTGATCGTTTCATCTAAATTTTTATTAATTTTGTCTACGTGTACATCTTAAAAAATTAACAAGTGTTTCAAAATTGTTAATTTTAACCCCCAATATGGACGAAATAATCAAATTGAAACTAGATTTAAAGCCCAAAAATCAAATTCTTCAATTTGAAACTATAGGCATTAAAGTGAAATTTAGATCAAATTACAGAGGTGAAATTTGAGTCAAATTGGTTCACTTTCACATGACCATTTAAATCATTAACGAAATATTTATAAAATTGACATATGGTCCCTAAAATTGCATTTTATGTTACTTTGGCCTCCAAAGTTTCAATTTTATTATTGTCCCTAAACACTGTAATCTTATGCTTTAAATTTTTTGTCAGTGTTTAAGACCAAAATGATAAAAAAATAAAAACACTGAGGACTACAATGACAACGGATACATACTTTAGGGTTCATAAGTGCATGTTAGAATTTCATGAATGATTTAGACTGTACATTAAGAATTGGACGAATTTGATTCAAATTAAAAAGCATAGGAAAAAAATTGACAAAGTTGAGATTTGAAGGATCAAAGTGACACGTAAAGCATAGTTGATTTCAAAAGCTTTTGCAGAATATTAAGATGGGTTAGGGAAGAGGAAGAGAGGATCAAAGCTAACAAGGAGACTTCCCTAAAATGTGTGATTTTGGATATGACAGGTATACCCTTTACAAGTATTCTTTGTATCTGATTTTGCCTAATTTGAAATGCAATCATTTTAACAATTACATATATAAAAAAAAAAAGGTCTATGAATACAGAAACTGGTCATATAATTGAACACATAATGTATATTTACAGATAAGATTTTTCAAAAGTGAACCCACCCTATAACATCTTATTATTCGTTCTTGTCTATTATGTATCTGTGACCAGCTTCCATGTTTAGATCTAACACAATGTTCACAATTATTTATTTATTTATTTATTTTTTTCAGCTGTAACAGCCATTGACACTAGCGGAATTGATGCTATATATGAATTGAACAAAACACTGCACTTGAGATCACTCCAGGCAAGGAAATCAGCCCAAAAAATAATTTTTTCTGCACAAATTATTGTTTTTTTTTTTTCTTATTAAATTTTTTTATTTTTTATTTATATTACTTGCAGCTTGTTTTGGTGAATCCTGTTGGGGATGTAATGGAAAAGCTCAACAACTCAAAAATTTTAGATCTATTTAGATTGAGTGGGCTTTATTTGACAGTTGGGGAAGCTGTTGCTGGTACATCATCTTTGTGGAAGCCTTGAGGATAAACATGAAACCGGTCACAAAACAGTTGTGACCGATTCTAAGTTTGATATTTGTATTATTAGTATTATTGAAGCCTTGATCGTGAGCAGACATAGGATGATTTTAACATTTCGCTGCTACAAGAATGTGGCACCTGATGTTTTATTCTGGCAATGTACAATGAACTTTGCTTAGAGTTGTATTTAACTGGAAAAAAACATAGGAATTTTTAGAATCAATAGTGTAAAACAAGGACATTTATTCGCATATATACGGCTTCTTTGATTGCAGAATTGATGGTTTGTATCAATTAGCCTTGTTTTCTGTAGTTAGAATATTATATTTAGCTTTGCGTTTGTTATATGTAATTGATTATTTAAAAATATCATGAGAATTACTTCAAACTGATTAACTATCAAACTTTAGGACTATTACATGTACCACAGGAGTTCAGGGTGAATCAATTGCAGTCTTAATTTCTTGAATGGTAAAGATAAATAATAATGAGTTTTAGGGATAGCGAAATAAATTGACTCTTACGCTGTGTTTGGTTGGGGGATTTGGGAAGGGAAATGGAAAGGGAAATGAAAATGAAAGGAAAAGGAGAAAGAATTAATAGAATTCCAAATCCCAACTATGTTTGGTTGTGCTAGTTATAAAATAGAATTGATGTCTTAAAAGGTATCCTATTTCTTTATTTATTTCTCACCCCCTTTCTTTTCTCATATATTTTTTATTATAACCAAACATAAATAGGATTACATTTCTCATTCCTTTTCCAAATCCCACCTCAAAAACTCCAACCAAACACAGCATTAATGGATTCACCTGGCAACTGTTGTTAGCATGGTTACATAAAAGAATAAAGGTCATAGAAAGGTAGAAAGAAACTCATGTTATGTATTAGTAGAAGAATAATACACCACCACAAATAATTTTCATTTCAGCTTGGGCAAATTACACTTTTCACCCATATAGTCTGACTTAAATTTTATTTTGATCTCTATTGTTTCAATTTGAACAATTTAGTCTTTACATTTTAAGTTGATTTTCAATTGGTTATTCTATCCAAATTTTCATTAATCTTCTACATGTAGTGTCCTCCAATTTGAACATAATGACTAACTGAAACTACACTTCAAGTGAAGGGACCAAATTGTTCAATTTTAAATAATAGGGATCAAAGTGAAATTAAGTCAAACTATTTTATAATTTACTCTTTCAGCCTCATGGTTTCTTTACTACCACTCTAGCACCTCCAAATCCTCCTCCACCATCGCCTTCTCCTCTATTGCCGCCTACTCCACCACCAATTCCTTTGCCTTATAAGCCTTTCCTGAATCCACCATCACCAACTCCACCAACATCATTTCCAATACCTCTAAATCCTCCACCTCTACCACTTCCACCACTAATTCTTCCTCCGATGCCGTTTCTAACACCTTCTTCAATAACCTCCTCCTCCTCTACCACCATCACTAACTTCTATACCCCCACTAATCCCTCCGCCAACAACACCACCACCTCTCATACACGTACCAATGCCTTTGCCAGCACCACAACAACCTCATGATACATCCACCACACTTTCGCCTCCTATATACCGAATATCTTCATCGCACCACTACTACCACATATATATACCTACCATTGCCAACACCTCCTCTATAGGAACACTTTTACCTCTACCAGTGGCTGTTCCAAGAATAAGGCTTGGGGTAATCATTCAAATACTTGATTAAAGTTTATGCCAAAAAAAAAAAATTCACTTGTCAATATCTATCAGCCACTTTCAATAAATCTCTTAATTTAAACTTGTTAAATCACCAAAAAAAAAAAAAAAAAAAGGGGGCAAATTACACTGACACCTCCTGAGGTTTATGTTTATTACAATTCCCTCACTCACCTTTTGGAAATTACATCTCTCTTCCTGAGATTTAAAGTTTTATTACAGATTCCCCCTCAGCAATTTAATTTTTTTTAAATACCAATTTTGCCCTCACTGGGTAAATTACATTGGCACCCCTCACATTTTAGAAATTATAATCTCCTTCCTAAGGTTTAAAGTAGCATTACCAATTGCCCCCTCGGTTAGTATTAGTTTGAAAAAAAAATTAATTGGAAAAAAAATTAATTGAAAAAAAAATTTGTTAGTAATTTTTTAAATTTCTGTTTAAAAACTAATGTAAACTCATTTTTTAAATTTACTTTTTTTCCTCAAATTTACAAACTGAGACAACAATTTATAAACCAAAAAAATTATCAAACAAGTTTTTATGATAGTTTTTAAAATTTTTGTAAATATAAATTGAAAACTGAAAATGAAATAGTTACCAAACAGGTCTCAGATGGTAAAAATATCGTAAAATTAACAAATAATTAAATAAGTTACCAACGTAAGAAATGATTTATCAAAAGATTCATAGGCTATGTACGGTTTGATTTTTAGAATTTATTTTTAAAAATTAAAAATTAATTTGGTTAAGAAATAAAAAATAAAAAATAATTATCATTTAAAGGTAAAAAATAATTATCATTTTAACTTTTATGCATGTTATATATACATGCGTATGATTGTTTCAATTTAATTTGTAAAAAATTATTTCTAGCTACTCGTAAAGATAAAAATTATATAAAAATGATAATTGTTTTTTTATTTTTATTTCTTAAACAAATTAATTTTTAATTTTTTAAATTTTTTTTCTAAAAATCAAACCATACATAGCCTAAGAATCTTCCGATAAGTTATTTCCTACGTTGGTAACTTATTTAATTATTTGTTAATTTTACGACATTTTTACCATTTGAGGCCTGTTTGGTAATCATTTCGTTTTCAATTTTCAATTTATATTTACAAAAATTTTAAAAATTGTCATAAAAACTTGTTTGATAATTTTTTTAGTTTATAAATGGTTGTCTCAATTTGTAAATTTGAAGAAAAAAACGTAAATTCAAAAATGAGTTTACGTTGGTTTTTAAACAAAAATTTAAAAAATTTACTAACAATATTTTTTTTCACATATTTTTTTTTAAATTAATTTTTTTTCAAATGATTTTTTTTCCCAACTAATACTAACTGAGGGAGCAATGGGTAATGCTACTTTAAACCTTAGGGAGGAGATTGTAATTTCTAAAGTATGAGGGGTGTCAATGTAATTTACTTAGTGAGGGCAAAATTGGTATTTAAAAAAATAAATTGCTGAGGGAGGAATCTGTAATAAAACTTTAAACCTCAGGGTCGGAGATGTAATTTTTAAAAGATGAGGAGGGGGGAAACTGTAATAAACATAAACCTCAGGAGGTGTTAGTATAATTTATCCAAAAAAAAATATATTAATACTATTATTTCAACCACAAAATAATAGATAAATAGATGGAGTTCTACAACTGATCTATACAAGTCATACGACTCATACCTAGGTAGGAGCTTGAAGTCCTTTTTTCTTTTTTCTTTTTTT